CAACCTTCTGATGAGCTAACTGCCATAGGAAAGCTTCTACACGAGGCGGAGACAAACCCAACCACACCCCTTTTGACCACAAATCAATACCCCCAACTTCCTTACCAAGAGCTTTCCTGCACGATTTCACTGAGAATAACCCATCACCACTTGCTGACCAAGAGAGAAAATCTTCAACCGAATCAGTGAGTTTTATTTCCTTTAATTTCATCATCAGATCCAACCATTGTTCCAATTCCCAATCAGACAAATTCCTCCTAGTAATAATGTTCCACTGCCAACCATTCAACTCAAAGCTTCCAAAATCAACAACCTTACCCCATTTGTTAGTAGAGAGTGCAAAAATTCTAGGGAAAAGAAGTTTTAAAGGAACCTCATCCACCCATGGATCAGTCCAAAAAGATATGGACTTACCATTGCCTACTTGCAACTTCGAAAATGATCTAAGACACTCACCCGACGAATCATTCTTCAAAAAATTATTAGCAATACTTCTCAAATTCCAAGAAGATTTTGGAGAAATGACCTTACTAATAGACATAGTATTACTACTAATATTATGCTTACTACATAACACTCTTTTCCATATGGAATCCTTTTCATTTGCGAACTTCCACACCCATTTCCCCAATAATGCCCGATTAGAAAGATTCAAGTACCCCAAGGCCACCACTGTTCATTGGTTTGCAAACTGTATCCCAACTAACCCAGTGGATCTTCTTTTTTTTCCGCATTGTCACCCCATAAAAATCTGGCCATTAAGGAGTTTAATTTATTCCCAACTTTGCAAGGCATTTTAAAGAAAGATAGGAAAAATATTGGCAGGGAAGTCAACACTGACTTTAATATAACTGTCCTGTCAGCCAAGGACAGAGAAGAAGCTTTCCACCCAACTAGTTTTGAATTAAAATTTTTAAGGACAGGATCCCATAAAGCTTCAGAATTCTTCTTAGCACCGATTGGAAGACCCAAATAATCTGTGGGAAAACGATCAACAGAACAGCCCACTTCCAATGCCCAGTCTGATAAAATATCCTCATCAACGTTTACACCATACAGTTTACTCTTCTTTAAGTTTAGATGCAACCCCACCATTATACTGAAAATCCTCAACACCCTTTTGACATTTTTAATCTGAGTAAGTGAAGCTTGGCAAAAAATGATGAGATCGTCGGCAAATTGAAGATGAAGATAACCGAAGTGAATCCGCAGAATTCCCAATCACAAAACCTTGGAAAAGTCCTTTGTCAACTGCTTTGTCTAGCATCAAATGCAGCAACTCACCTACAATATTAAATAGGAGCGGAGAGAGACTACAACCTTGTCTTAGTCCTTTAGCCATAGTAAACTCTTCCGAAGGGGAACCGTTCACCAGAACCGAAATTGAAGCAGAAGAGAGACACTGTGAGATCCACGAACACCATCTAATACCAAAGCCCATCTCTTTCATTGCTCTGTTCAAAATCGGCCATTCAACAGAATCATATGCTCTGCGAAAGTCAACTTTGAAAACAGCCCCTTGTAGACCTTGTTTTCTCCAATAATCGATCCCTTCATTTGCAACAAATGCACAGTCCAACAATTGTCTCCCTGGTATAAACACAAACTGGAAAGAGCTGATAATGTCACCAACACAGCTGCTAAGTCTCTTGGATAGAACTTTTGATAGGATCTTATACAAACTTCCTACAAGGCTAATTAGTCGATAGTCTTCAACACTTTCCGGATTTAAAATTTTCGGAATTAGGGTAATAAAGGCTTGATTTACTCCATGCTCCCACATCCTTCTGAAATAAAAATCGTTAAAAAATTCCAGTACTTGCTCCTTTAAATCTGGCCAGTATTTCTTGAAGAAACCCATTGTAAAACCTTTCGGACCAGGAGATTTAGAACTGTCCGAGGATGCTATAGCTTGCCAAACTTCTTGTTCTGAAAACTTCTCCCCTATTTTTGTAAATTGTTCTCTTGACAGTTTAGAGAAATACAGAAATAAGTTCTCCACTTCCATTGTAGAAATGGAATTAAAAGCTGTCTTAAAAAATTCAGAAATGTGGGTCTTGATCAGAGACGAGTCTGAAACTACAGTCCCATTAATCTTCAGACTAGTAATTGCATTTCTCCTGTTTCTGTTTAGAGCACACAAGTGGAAAAATCTAGTATTTCTGTCCCCTCCTTTGATCCATCTCGTTCTTGCTCTTTGAAACCAAACACTTTCTTCAATCCTGTACAACCTCCAGAGATTCGATCTAAACTGCTTCACCTGGTCCCACTCCTGCGGAGAAAGATTACTACCTTGTGCCTTCAATTCTAACTCATTAATTCGCCCTTCTAAAGTTTCGATAGAGTCTGAAATCCCATTAAATTTCTTGCTTGACCAGTTTCTGATTGACTTTTTAGTTCCCTGTAAAATACTGAAGATACCCCTTCTATTATTCCTTTCCATCAAGTCAACCATTGAAGATTTAACCAATTCCTCGAAGCCTTCTTCCTCTAATAAATAATTGTAAAATCTGAATGGTTTAGGACCCCAGTCTACATACGAATCCTCCAATGACACCGGATTATGATCTGATATGGACCTAGGCAGTAGCCTTTGAACTACGTTCAGAAAGCAGGTCAAAAAATTACCAGAAATAAGAACCTGTCAAGCCTAACCCAGGTTGATTCTTCCCTGTTGTTACACCAAGTAAAAGTTCCTCCCACCAACGGAAGATCAATTAAATTTGTTTGCTGCAGAAAATTCCTAAATATATCAACAGAATGCCAATTTTGAGACCTTCCCATCGTCTCAGCCGGATCAAGATACGTATTAAAGTCCCCCCCAATACAAAGTAGATTCGATTGGGTTGAAACAAACTCCAGTAATTCCCTGTAGAATTCATCCTTTTCAGATTCAGTGGAGGGACCATAAATATTCATAATCACACACTCTTCAACAACATTCTTAAACTTCCCAAATATTGCAATGATCCTGCTACTTACTACTGGACACTTTAAATTCATTATCATTCCACATTACCAGCAAACCCCCTGCAGACCCAGCAGTTGGTGAAAAAATACATCCCTCGAGAAGACAACCCCTTATCCTTCTCCTTAGAGCCATAGAACAGTTTTCTAGCTTTGTTTCTTGAATAAGTAGAATGCTCGGCTTATTCGTCCTGACCAACTTAGCTACAGCTCTTGTTTTTTCCTTCTTCCCCAACCCCCTTATGTTCCACGAAATAATATTAATGTTACTCATAAATATAACAAATATCCCAAGAACCTCAAATCAAAAAAGCACAATAGCAAAACCCCTTATTTCAACAATTCCTACTAACCCCCAATCCTTCCTCAAGATCAATAATTTTATCTAAAATCACCTTCTTGCCTTCTTTAAATGAGATCCCCAGCAACATACTAACCTCCCACGTAGCCATTGCTTCTTCCAAAAACATCGAAAAGGAGGGAGAAGAAACTGTGTGTAAACTAGCCACCTCCAAAGCTTCCCTAGTCAAAATCCTTCTCTGTCGCCTACTCTCTTTCCCTATAACTGCTCGAGACTGACAATCTGATCGAGGCACTACTCTACTCCTTGAATGCTGGTCCAAGTCTCCTACTCCACTTTTAGAGGGACCTCCTTCCTCATCGTCGCTAATTATTCCATCTTCCTCTAAAATTGGGAGCGGTTGGGTGGTCAATAAAGAATTGGAAGCTTTTCTATTTTGGTCCAGTACCTCAGCTGGTCGCAACAACTCTTCTTCTATCTTCGGATCATACCAGAATTTTCTATCTTTTGATCTTCTATATACTCTATTACAAGTTCCTCTATTCCATCTTCCCACCGGAACACTCGTCAAAGCCAAACTTCTTGACAAATGAACCAACGGACTCCAGCTCCTCTGACCATTAGAAAACGTCCCCTTACGTAATTCCATTGGTTGAGTTCCAACAGTTTTAATTGAAACATCATCCTTTTCCTCCTCCACTCCTTTTGCGTTTGTAACCTCGTTGTCCAAGACCACTACGTCCTTTATCGATTCTTCATTGGACTTGATCCATTCCCTGTTTAATTGGGGAATAAATCTGCCTTTGGACCCTTCGGCAATCCATTTCAGATTATACGCAGGCCCTGGAGGACACAGAATCTTCATGCTTGATTCAGAAATCAAACTGTTACAATCTTGGGCTTGAGAGTCTAGGCCCAATTCTTCCCTGAGACCAAGTCCCGCATGCTCCCCAGCAGGATATTTTCCTTTTCCCGCAAATCTGACAACCCAACATCTAAAATATCCATATTTGACTTTTTTGGTAAAAGCTGCTCCCCATCCCCCTTTTGCAACCTACTCCTCTGTTCCTGATCATGCCAGTTGTCTTTCTTCAGCATAGTCTTCAGAAGACTTAAAATTTTCAACTTGTTCCAAAGTCAGACGGCGGCCGCACTCTTCCTCGGGAAAATGATTTTCACTGTACCCGTAATTTGAATTTTCACCATCAATCCCCCCGGAAAACTCCTCCGGTTTTAAAAATACCGATCCCAGTATGGCTTTGACCTTGTATGATCTGCCGTAAAACCCTATTGTGACCATTTCAGGGACATCAAACGGACTGGCAACCCTGATCAAAACTCTTGCCGACGATAAATCTGACCTGTTCTTTGAAGAATCCAAGATGCCAATGAACTTTCCCCATTTCTGAACAAGTTTCTCCAAGAACTCTACATTCCAGCATAATAACGGTAATCCCATTAATTCCACGAGACAGAACGCCAATGGAACTCCCTCCTCGTTTAGCAATGGCTCCAGCCAATTAAACCAAAAACAGATCTCCTCCTGTTTTCTTGCCCATGTATCAGAGTAGTCTTCAATCGATTTAAAGGTTACAACACAGGCATTCCATGCGTAGCCCCATCTCGCTATTTTTAGCTGAATTCCTTCACTTGCCAAAGCTTTTTGAACAAATTCTTGCTCGAAGGAATGCTTGATTACCCCTGTTAAAGACCTTTTCACCCAAGTCGAATCCTACGAGGAGATATCCATCTCCCAGACATTCCTTATCCCATTAGCAGCCTTCCTTATCCTTTGACCATCCTCTTTATTGACATTTCCGCAATCCTCTCTATTGGTCGTTTCCACCACCTCCTTGTATGATCTACTATCCCTCAGGTTTCTCAAAGATCCAGCGTGCTTCTCACCATTTGTTTTCTCCACCCTTGTTGGGATTGGCCCATCCCTCGTAGACCTGCCTTCAGTAACTTCTCTATTCCTGTTGTTCTGATATTTTTCTAACCCGACTGAAACTCTTTTCCCGTCGATCCAAGTTCCGTTAACACACTGAATAGCCCTCCTCCTCCCTTCCTCACTTGCAAACTGGACAAACGCGAAAGTGTAGTTCTTGTATTTCGATTTCTGAGTAAAATTTGGAATGAAAATCCTCACAACTTGATCGTAATGCTGAAATACTTCCCTTAATTCACCTCTTATAACCCTCTTGCTAAGATTATCAACGAAAATCGTCCATTTCTCCCCCACAGCAAACTGACCATTCGCTCCTTCTCTCTCTAAATTTTTGACTCTCTCACTCATTTTTTAAATGGTACGTTTTTCTATATTGGATTTATGGTCTTGGAATGTTCAAACGAAAAGAAATTTATGTGACTGGGAATTAGAGCAATGGGTAAATCTTATGAGGAAGTTGAGCAGTACAAAGTTGATTGAATCAGTGGATGATTTCCTCTCTTGGACTGGGAGAATCCTATTTGGAAGAATTGTGTTTGGAACGGGTTTGTTCCTACAAGGGTGGAAATTTTCTTGTGGCAAGCACTTCATCAAAAACTGGCTGGGAAAACAGAGTTGATGAAAAGGGTGGTTCCCTTGGTAGATGACTTTCTTTGTCCGTTCAGCAATCTTAAAAGTTATATATATTGTTAAAATATCTCCACTTAACTTAAAGCAGGTGGAGAGCGAAAATCTGGAAATGGATCTAGTGCTTAAAAAAGTTCACACAGCTTACAAATAAACATAAAAATGATCGACATGTTTAGCAATGAACTGAAGTTTCATCTAAGAAAAACCAACCAAGTCACAACTATGTTCAGATAAAATTGTGCTTCCTATAAACACAAAAAGAAAAAATTAAACATAAGCTCAAAGGAACGCATAAAAACGGTTATGTGATTGTAGCTCCAAAAGAAAGCCAGCATCACAAGCAATTAACTCAACAAAAAGCACTGAACCATTCTTGGATAACAGAAACAATCAAAACACCATGAAAACAACTAAGTGAACCAGAATTCCTATTTGGAACCAAGAAAAATTTTCTTATGAAGTCAGTATAATTACAGAAGCTAAGAAACAGTGTACTAACCAAGTCAGAAATATGGGCTACAGTCAGAAGCAAATGTTCCTGGAATACATTTGTCAGGAAAAATTACAATATACACAATCCTGCCAAGAGTCTCCACAAGTTATCAACACAGCCTTCATGTGATAATTGTATTTTATCCACAAAATGAGCCACCCTTCAATGAAACATTTCTCGAAGCCAGCTACAAAAAAAAAGTTAACTGCAACAAATTAAGCAGGATTTGATCAAGAAGTGTAAATGATTGGTGTAGAGGTCATGAGTTATGGATTACCCTGAAGAGTAAACTGCAATATTTGTAACATAAAATAGAGATGCAAGAAAAAATTGTAAACTTAAGCAAGATCCTTACATGCGAACCAAAAACAATAACAAATACACCTCATTCTTGCAACAAAAGTGGTAAACAGCACATTTCATTTTCACTTCAATAACAGAAGTCAAATGTTGTATTGAAAAGAAAACTAAAGGAGGAAATGTTCACGGCAAAGATTTCATTAACAGATTAATATTTACTAAGTACCTAATACGATTATTTCCTTATTCTCGAGATGGCCTCCAACTGTTAACAGCAGACATGTCTGGTCGACATGGAATTATTGGTGAAACACCATGACCTGAAAAACAAAAGTAGAACCATGATGTCATTCTCTGATCTAATAGGTGCTTGATTCTTTAACTGGCAAATAAAGTAAATGTAGCAAACCAAGACAACAACAAATATGCAATACCTGAATTTGGAGCTCCAGCTGGTAGATTATTGGTGGAAGCAATAGGATAACCCATATTACTTGAGGATGGCCTTTCAACAGGAGGTCTAAAATAACCTGCCAAACAATTAACAGAAGTGTCATAAAAAAGTAGGTACATCCGATCAGCACATTAAGTCATGTATGAAAGAGGAAGTCTTGCACATGAAATACGCATGAAAAAATAATCAAAACAACACCTCAGATTATAATTCATGGGCATAAGACTGAGCTCTTAAAAGGGTTTCCATCTGCAAAGACTCATGGAAATGTAAGACTAACTATATTGCATTGCCTCAACTTTTCAAAAGGCTGTCACTCATGTATTTATAGTATAGATGATATGTGGATACTAACAGTCCCAAAAAAAAGCTTGCAGATACAGTATAAAGTGTGCCTTTCGTATTTATATGGTGGCATGTTATAGTTCAGCAAAGCATCCATAACAACATGCAACAGTTAGAAGTTTGACTGCCACAACCATAGAGGGGGAATATATTTAATTTTCAGGTAAAAACAATAAATTTAATGACCCTAAACAAACATTTTCAACCATGGAAGCTTCATGGGGATTAGGGGAAAGGTAATTCATACCTTCCTGGACAAACAATGGACCAGAAGATGGTGGATTTCTTCCTGCAATCCACCCGCTGTGATTATCAGTATTATAATCTCCGGCAGGCATTCTCCACTGCTCATCAGCAAAAAATGGCCTGTGGCCATCATGTTGTAATGGCATTGAGTATTGAGGAGGATATGAATGCTGAGGATGTGGTCGCATGGAAGGCTTCACGAATGAGAAATGATTAGATGAAGTTTGTGGCAGACTCGGGGGTAGAGGTCTTTGCACCAAGGCTGTATTACTAGGTTGAAATTGTTGAATTGGTTGAGATGATTGGGCATTTAAGTACATTTCATTATGTCCATATTCCAATTGCCTTGAAGAACTACATCCAGAAGGCTCTCGGCCTCTTGAAGGAAAGCAAGGTGATTGTTGCAGAAACAATTCACTTTTCACAGCAACATCTACACGGCCTCCATGAGGAGCAGTTCCACCCATTTGAACTATATGATTACCCTGCAAACGAAGGGATATGTTTGTAAATAAAAAAGTATTGACATACTCGGTATCAAGCAAAGAAACATCTAGAAGACTTACATCTAGTGTACCCCGAAATTCATGTACAGGTGGTTGATACGCCAACAGCGGTGAAGACTGCATCGATGACTGGGGTGCTACCATGGGTTGAGATAGCAGTGAAGGTTGAGGGGGCAATGGTGGTTGGGGTATGAAGTCTGGAGGAGGGCATGAAGGCAACGCAAGCGGAGGAGGTGGTTGTGTTGGTAAGGGTAGAGGAGGTGGGGGTGGGGGTGGTGATGGAGATGCTGGGGGCTGGGTTGGAGGTGGTGAAGGTGGCAAAGGTGGTAAGGGTGGAGGAGAATCTGGGGGCAATGGCGGGGATCCCTCAGGTAGAGGAGGGAATCCGTCAGAGCTATTTGAAGAAGGTTCCATAATCTTATCAGTGTCTAGCTGTTGCATGTCCTTTTCAAGAGTATCATCAGTGAATGATGGTCTGTCATCCTTCTGGTGTGCAGAAACATCTTCCATTTCAAGCTCACCATCCACATCTTCTAAGATGCAATGACGCCTGTCACTTGGAGTAACCGTACACAGTTCTAACTCTGCCGAAATCTGAGTTGTTTCTAGAGGTGATGCATCAACAGCTTCTCCACAAGGACTGTCTGAAAGATCTTCCTCGTCGTCTTCAAATGCATTTGAAGACAAAAGGCCAGGCAGCTGAAATGTAGCATTACTGGTTACAAAACCAAAAAAAATTGGTGTCAGAAAGCTAGTGTTCCTCTCAAATGACAAAACTAGGAAGTAGAAGATGGGGCATATATGCTACAAAAGAACTTCAGAAGCGACTTCAAATTTTAGAAATTTGAGAAACTTCAATATAATATAACTCATAAAGTAGTACTAGGTAGCTCAACAACATATTCCCAATCAAATCAATAACAGTGGCATAGTGAAACAGGATGCTGATACTTCTAAGCTAAGCTAAAATTAGCTAAAGTAACCAAGTTAGATCGGCATAGTTTGAAAAGCAAAAGGTTTTACTTTGGTCTGAAAATCAAGCTGATTAGTACATTTGGTCTTAGTTTGGCTTCAAATATATATGAAACCAAATGAAAACAAACCCAATCTTCAATAGGATATAATAGATATTATTTATTATCATTACAATAACTTCATTTAAATAGATGAAAGAGTTTTCACACCTTCCATACTCATCGACAAGCATGCCTTCCATTTCTCTTATAGGATCATCTATAGCACGTTCAGCTCGAGACGGGTGCCTTAGGGAAAACCCTGAGATTGCATCATCATTTGAAACTCCAATGTCATCCATATAACGCCGCAGAATTGTTTCAGGAAAAATTTTCCTCTCAAGCCACAACCGTAAAACCTGGTATAGACAAAACATCACTTTATCCTTCAGAGGGATGAAAGAGGGTGGGGTGGAATGGAAAGAACAGAAGAATACTATCTTACACTGAAAAAAAAATTATACCTTGAGGCATTGACGACGGTTTTCACGAGCACTTGTTCCAGGTGGAGCAGCTGCACCCAGGAGACGGGGCAGTGCCATTTGAACAGTAGGAATATATGAAGCACCAGCAATGCCTAAATAAACATTAACCATAACCGTTTAATTGCTGCATTAATATATCACATTTGACTATTTCAGTGAGTGTACCTAAGTAGAAGAGCACTTAAAAGAGTGTTCTTGTAAAAATGAAGCAGCACTCCTTCAAAGGTCTAAAGATGCGACTCAGTACAAATATATATCGTAACAAATAAGGAAATAAGGCTCAACAAGAAAGAAAAAAGATTAACTAAAAAATTTTCTTAACAGTCAGGTCAGCACCAAATAAGTTCCTGATTAAAAAGTAATTGAATAAGGTCAATCAAGGTGCTTGTTCTTCAGATTTTTCGATTTTAGTGGAGGAAGCCTTAGCAATTTGGGAAATCAGCAAGTTATTGGGGGTGTCCTTTAAGAAAGGGAAGGAGGCTTTTCTGGATAAGATTATCAGCTTGGAGAAAGCTTTGAATAAGGTCAATCAAGGTGATCTTGATGAGGGTGTAGATTGTGGACTAGCTAATGATGAAGATTAATTTTACGATTGCTTCCTGGAATGTTAGAGGTTTGAGGAGAAAAGAAAAGCAGAGGGCTATTCAGAGGTTAATTGATAAAAATCACCCACAGTTTCTTTGGCTGCAAGAAACGAAAATGGAGAAGATTCCCAGATCTCTGCTTAGAAGAAAGGGGTTTAGTAATTTTAAAGGTGTCCTTGAAACTCCATCGGTTGGCTCATCAGGGGGTTTAATGAGTTGTTGGGATGATAAAATTTTCGAATTAGAAAATCAGTTTATTTATAGAAGATTCATTGTCTTATCCGGGAAATTTCGTGTCAATAATTTCAGTTGTATTTTCATCAATGTTTATGGCCCTTCAGTAGAGGAGGAGAAAGATAGTTTTTTTGAAGAGTTGAGCTTGTTCATTAGTGGTCAGAGGGCTCCTATTTGTGTAGGGGGGGACTTTAATGTATATATGCATGATGAAGAGAAGATTGGAAGAACTCAGAACAGGAATTCAATGAGGATATTTAATCTTTTTATGCTGCAAACAGGCTTAATTGATCTACCCTTAAATGGAGGAAGGTTTACTTGGTGCAATAATCAAGATACCCCTACTCATGTTAGATTGGACCGGTTTTTGGTTGATGGCCAATTCTTTGTTGCATTTCCTGATTTGGTGCAAACCTTACTGCCTAGATCTCTTTTAGACCATAATGCTCTACTGTTGGAGAACTGGAATTGAGGATCCACAGTCTAGAACTGGAAATCCAACAGGTGCAGGATGGTGCTAACAGTGGAATAGCAGCAGAGTTAATTTCAGCAAGAACAGAACTGTGAAGACTCTATAAAATAGAGGAGCAAATCTGGTTCCAAAATTCCAGATCAAAATGGATAGAAGATGGGGATAGAAATACAAGATTATTCCATAATTGTGCTTCGATTAGGAAGATGAGGAATGCTTTGAATATCGGGGGTAATATCATTCAAGAACCGTCTGTCATTAAGACCACTATTAGAGACCACTTCTTTAAGATTTTTAATGAGCATTCGACTTTAAAGGTGGAAGAGATAAGGTTGAATTTTCCTAGTATTTCAGTTTAGCAGAATCTATGTTTAGAGAAGGAATTTTCAGAGGAGGAAGTCTGGGAGACTATACAATCTTGTGATAGTAATAAAGCGCCGGGACCGGATGGTCTAAATATGGGCTTCTTCAAAAGGTTTTGGCATGTCCTCAAAGTTGATATTATGAAATTTTTTCATGATTTTTATTTTGGGAACATGGGATTAATCATACATTTATCACTCTCATTCCAAAGGTTTCTAACATTGGCAGTCTAGATGACTTTAGGCCAATTAGCCTAGTTGGTGGGTTGTATAATTGAGGGGTTGCATTTCAGACACCATTAGTCCAACTCAGTTTGCCTTCATACCAGGTAGACATATTCTGGATTGTTCTTTAATTGCTAATGAAGGAGTGGATTATTGGAGAAAAAATAGACTTAAGGGTTGTGTATTCAAGGTTGATTTCAAGAAAGCTTACGATTCTGTTGAGTGACCTATTTTATTTAAAATAATGGAGAAAATGGGCTTTGGTTCTAGATGGAGGGGCTGGATTGAGAAGTGTGTAACCACAGCTTCTGTTTCAGTTCTTGTAAATGGAGTTCCTTCTGAGGAATTCTCAATGACTAAAGGTCTTCAACAGGGTTGTTCTCTGTCTCCTTTGCTGTTTAACTTAGTAGGGGAGCTACTTAATCTACTGATTCGAAGGGCTGTGTCACAGGGTTTATTTTCTGGAATGGTGATTGGCAGAGAACAGGGGTCTGTAAATGTGTCCCATTTACAGTTTGCTGATGATTTGATTATATTTTCTGGTGCCTCGAAAATGCAAATTCAGAATGTCAAAAGGGTGCTTCGAGTTTTTCAAGTGGTTTCTAGTCTATAGCTGAAGTTGAAGAAGAGTAAATTGTTTGGTGTTAATGTTAATGAGGAACTGCTGGAATGGGCTACTTCTATTAGATGTTCAATTGACAGATTTCCTTCTAAAAATCTAGGGCTTCCCCTTGGTGCTACTAGAAATTCTGCAGCTATTTGGGAACCTGTCATTAATAATTTTTTTAACAAGCTAACCGGGTGAAAGGCAGCATCTCTTTCTTTAGCAGGAAGACTAGTGTTAATTAAGACGGTTCTTTGTTTGCTTCCTACTATCTGTCCATATTTAATATTCCAGCTTCGGTTCTTAAAACCCTTAACTCTATTATGTCCAATTTCCTATGGGGAGGGGGAAATGGCATTAGAAAAATTCACTGGGTTAGCTGGTCCAATATTAGCAAGCCGAAGAGTGAAGGGGGCTTAGGAGTTCTTAATCTTAACTTGATGAATAGAGCGCTTTTGGGGAAATGGACTTCGAGGTTTGCCAATGATAGGGACTCAGTTTGGAGGGAAGTTGTTTGTGCCAAATATAGACTCGATTCTTCAGTTTTAATTCTTGACAGTAAGTTTCCATCTAAGGTATCCTGGATTTGGAGATCATTGCTAAATAATTATTTTAAAGAAGACTTCTTTGGCACTAAATTTAGAAGCATGTGTAGTTGTCATGTTGGTGATGGTAAATCTATTCGGTTTTTCAAGAAAGAGGTTTTTAATGAGGCCTCCTAATCTTATCAAAAAAAAAATCTATTCGGTTTTGGCAAGATCTTTGGGCTGTGGATCATCCACTTGATGTCATTTTCCCAAGACTATTTTCTATTTCCATAAATCAGTTTGGGAAATTATCTGAATTTGGGGAGTATATCTCTAACGTTTGGACTTGGGATGTTAGGTTTAGAAGAAATCTTCATGACTAGGAACTTGAACAATGGTCTAACTTGTTGGCTATCATTACAAATTTTTCACTCTCCGGAATTTCCTGATCGTGTGATCTGGAAAGGTACTGGGGATAGGGCTTTTACTTTTAGATCAGCTGTTAATCTATTTTCATCGGAGACTTTGGGATCGGAGGAGGTCTTTTTCTTGAAGAAGATTATTTGGAGAGGTCTACTGCCTCCAAGAGTAGAGTGTTTTCTTTGGCAGATCGCTCATGGGAAGCTGGCTGTTACGAAGAGATGTTCAAGGAATTGAAGATGTGTTGTGTCCCCTATGCATGATGTCGGATGAGTCTCCCTCTCATTTGTTTTTCTCTTGTTCGGTGGTGTGGTCCCTTTGGAATAAGTTCTTAAGTTTTTGGAGGATTTGTTTCGTTCTACCAGCGGATGCTAAAAGCTTCTTTCTAGCTTGGGATGGTTTAAAGTTCAACTCTATGATTTGGCCTTTTATTCCAAGGGTCGTTCTTTGAATCACCTAGAAAATGAGGAATTTCGTGGTGTTCGAAGGGGGAAAGGTTGATAAGGCAGAATTCTTCTTTTTAGCAAGGTTTAGGCTTGCTTCTTGGTTCTTAGCAAAGTATAAAGAAGTGTCTATTCCTAAGGACTCACTCATTTCTGATCCTTCACTTGGGGACTTAGTTTCTCTCAGGTCTAATCAGATTCCACCTACTTTACTTTGGTCTCCTCCTTCTTTGGGTTTTGTTAAATTAAATGTTGATGCTGCCACTACAAGGGATTGGAAGAAAAGCAGGTTAGGAGGAGTTTTAAAATATTACTCAGGTTCTACTATAGGCTATTTCAAGGAATCTGCTGATCCGGGACCTCCTACGTTGATGGAGTTAAATGCTATTCTTATGGGGTTATCTTTCTTTGCAAATTATCGACAGAGGATCAAGGACCGTCTGATTTTAGAGAGTGATAGTAAGGTGGTTGTGGATTGGATTAAGGGGGATTAATTATGTCATGTTGTATATGCCTTCTTGATTAAAGATATTGTTCATAGGCTTAATGCTTTTGAAGGTGTTGTTAGATGGGTTAATAGGACAGCCAATTTAGAGGCTGATGCCTTAGCTAAAGAATGCATAGGCTGAGTTAGTAAAGTTGTTGATGGCTGTTTAGGGTTGTTTCTTGATTTTCTGTGTTTTGTAAAGGGATTACTAGTGTTGTTTTCGCTTATGTGTTTTTAGTTTGGGTGTTTCCATCTTATTTGGTTCTGTTGGGGTGTTTTGTTGGTTGTATTGTTGGTTGTATCTGATGTAATTTTATTGTTCAATTAAATCCTAAGGCACTTTTTTCCTCCTTCCGCTGATTAAGGAGCTTCCCTACAAGCTCCATTAATCAAGAAGGAGGTTTTTAATGAGGCCTGAAATTCTTATAAAAAAAAAGGTAATTGAATGCATTCTAATCAAAGGGAGAAACCAACCTTTCTGATTATATGAGCATTGGGTGATTGAATCAACAAGAAAGAACAGGTCAACTTTACGATGAAAACTGGGCTCACTTTCCAGCTTCCGGATGAGAAGCTCAACAACCTGCATACAGATTATGAAATTTAACTCATTCCAAAAAACAGTATTCAAAAGGATTATAATATCATATGTGATCGGTACCATTTAGTTTAAAATAAAACTATAAGTCGTACTATACAATTTTGAGTTCAAACATGCTCATGTTGCACCTATAAACATAATTGTTAACGTACTTCATTTGCAATGCCATACTTAGCACAATCAATAGCAAGGCGAGTTGCTCGTCCAATACTTTCTTTGGTCCTTGATAAAGTCTCTATCATTCCTTCAAAAGCATCTCGAGCAACTGATGCCTCGGTACCACCACTGAGAGAGCCACCAGCTGTAATGTGTCCTGAACTAGGTCTTCTCTCTTCAATCTCCTCGGTATCCTGTTGATTTTGGGATCCTGACTGACGACCGAGATTTGGTGGAGAAACTATAATTGTTGGATGAACAAATCCCTGCACATCAGCCTGCACTTCATTGTTGATCGCAGAGGGAAAAGGCTGAACTGTAGGACTGGAGCTCATTCCAAGAACCTCAGACATCGACAGAAACACAGAACTAGGATTTCCTAGAGAATACTGTTGAGAGTGAGCTTGTCTCCTTTTCGCCTGAGCAGCGGCAATAAGATGCTTCATTGACGTAGCAGAATCTGGATTTTTGGAATCAATCAACAAGCCACTTCTATCTTCTCTAAAGATGTCAAATCTGTATAGAAAGACATTAGTTTACGCTACACAATGAAAAATAATATAATAACTTAAAAAAGATAAATTAAATGAAATAATAATAAGGGTAATGCAGAGCCATACTCCATTGAAGTTTCAGTAACAAAATTGGTATCATTTACACGTGAAACTGCTTTTGGAGTAGATTTCAATCTCTCTACGGAAGAAGCTTGTCGATATCTTTGACTCGTAACCTGATTTTGAGAAGACTTTGAGCCATCAGTCGTCACACCCGATCCCTTGACAGAGCCAGGTGGAGCCTTTTTCTGAATTCCATTACTCGAAACCTTGACAGCAGCTTTGGCAGTTTTGTGTTGTTCAACTTGTTTTGTGGCAGAAACCAGATAAGGAGACTTCATTGGGGAAATCAGGACTTGTTTTGCCTCCTTGGAAGACAACTGTTCTGATTCTGATCTTTCAGGAGTGGAGGCTTGAGTAGAAAGCCTCCTTTCAACAGTTTGTGGTCGAACAGGTGACACAAAATCATTCATCAATTGTGAAGATGCCTCCTTGGTACCACTGTTCTCATATTGGCTGGAATCTCCAACACCATGTTGGGCATCAGTAGCAGTTGAGTGATTTAAATCAATGCTTTTTAAAGCAGAAGAAACAACAGAAGTTACTTTAGCATCCCAGGTAGATCCTCCATGAAGTGGGGTTTTGGGATCTTCATCATCATCATCAAAAAGACAAACAGCTCTACGCCTTCTGGGCAATTGGGTAGCACGAAGTTTCACATTACCAGAACTTGAAGTGTCATTCTTCAATTCAACAGGATTTTTTCCAATTTTATTGTTATAATTACTAGAATCAACCATCGACTCCAGAGCTAGCCGCTGGCGCTTTGATAAGGGCAGCACAGCTTCATCACTGGAAACATCAGAAATATCGGATGCCCGAGCTTTCAATACTGAAACATGAGAAGTGGATTTCCTCGACTCTGACTGTTTAGCTGCTATCTCATTGACATTTTTAGAGCTTGGAGAATTAGTTTTCATTTTTTTGACAAGAGATCCCTTGGAAGTCCCATTTTTCATATCTAAAACCTTTGGCTTTTTGCCAGGATGTAAAACTTCATCTCCTCCAGATTTTGGCTTTCCAAGTCCAGTTTCACCCCTTTTTTTCTTGCCAGTAGTCTCACCTTTTGGAGTAGCCATAGCATCCTTCAGATCATCAGTGACCTTCAAGTTGCTTTTGTTTTTCAGCAATTCCTTTGCCTTTTTACCACTATTGTGATTAGAATTTGATTTGAAAGTATCTGGAGAGAATTTCCTTGCAGAGCCATCTGAGACTTTGCCTTGTAGTCTATCCTTCAATTGCTCCTCAGAATCAGGCCGATCAAGACAACCACCAGATTTACCATCCCTCGATAATGTTGCACCTGAGCTGCTGCTTTTCTGCCCTTGATTGGTTCTTTTCTTTAACCCAGGAGCCATCTTCTTTGACATCTGATCATCCCTCAAAATTTTCTTAGTGGAATTGAATATAATAATTTTATCATCGGAGATTTCCTCCTTCATATGAGAAGGCTCATCTAAAGATGCTGGAGATAACACATCCTTTTTAGCTTGATCATCACTTGAAATTTTATCATTTCCCTCAGAAGACATAATAGGAGATGAGCTATCATCTGCATGACCTGAAATCAAAGGCTTTATGTGTTCTCTATTACTTTCACCTTTTCCTAAAATAGTGGTATCTTCATCAAGTGCTACTGCAACTGGTCCATTCTTTAAGTCAGCCTTTGAGCCTTCGTCCTCAACCCCACCAGCAGATGAAGCCTCACAGCGAGGTTCTGGTCTGTCAGATTCATTTCTCAAATCATTGGACTTCTCTTTATATAACTCATCAAATGCCTCGCATATTTCTTTAACAGCTTGGACAAAGTACCTAGTTCTAACAACTTTACACTTCGCAGACAATTTACTCTTTGTCTCACTTGTAAACACTTGAATATCGACAGGGGCAACAAATGCTCTGTAAAAGAAGAAAACCGTGGTGGGTAGTAAGCAACAGGAACACAAGTTAACTTTAGTTCAAAAAGCATTCGGGGGGAAAATAATGATGCATGAATGCATCTCTTGGCTGGGAAAGAGAAGTATTGCTCCTTTTATACAAAAGAAATTGTAAAAAAACTCCAACAATCAAATAAGAAAATCACAATCACATAAATACTAGCTGTAAGAGAGAAAAGATGGAGATATTCAATCCATCAACTTCCTCATATGCATGAATATGATGTGCAGAAAGACAACGAAAATACACCGCCCAAGTATTAAAAAGTAACAAAAGACAAAATGAGCAGGTTCTGATTTTCAACAAAATTAAAGATGTTTGGCACATAATTGAAGAGAAGAAGCATCATCAACCAAACATTATAATCCGAAGAGTAATCAAGTTTTCGATTCAAGGTTTTCGATTTAAGCCTCACAGCTTAAGCCTTAAGCATGATTATATGCATATATGGATGCAACAACACAATTCAGGAGAAGAAAAATCCCAATACAAGCCCAGATTGTTGAAAGTGACAGCAAAATCGCAATGGACTGGATTAAGGGGGTTGATTTTTGTCCTGATGTTTATGCAATATTGGTTAGAGACATTGTTCACAGGCTTATAGAGTTCGGAGGGCTGGTTAGATGGGTTAGCAGGACAGCCAACATAGAAGCCGATGCCTTAGCTAAAGAAGGAATTGGCTGATCCTATATTTATAGTCGTTGTTTTATGGTTGTTTCAAGTTTTTGGTTGGTGGGGTGTATAATGGTTGTATCTTATGTAAATTTATGGTTCAATAAAATCCTAAGGCACTCTTTTCCTCCTTCCGCTGATTAAGGAGTTCTATAAGCTCCATTAATCAAGAAGGGGGTTTTTAACGAGGCCTGAAATTCTTATAAAAAAATGCATTCCAAGAGCCACTTCACTATTTACACATAAATACACCATTTATGCAAAAATGCTACTAAGATAACACCAGCTGTACTTATTTTTACGGCATTTCAAATTCCTTTACATGAAGGCCTGCACATATACCATATGCAAACCACTGCACAAAAAACTTGAGCTAAAATCTCAAAACTGCTAAATCAAACCAGAGATGTTCCTCTATCTATTTCATGGTAAGAAGTCGGGAAGCTATTTGGACTCAAGTTACTTTTTTTTTATAAGATTTGAAGGCCTAATTAAAAACCTCTTTCTTGATTAATGGAGCTTGAAAACGACTCCTTAATCAGCGGAAGAATGAAAAGAGTGCCTTAGATTTTCATTAAAGAAAATACTAATTACAGCCTAGAGATCTCTTCGAAATAACCCTTACAACAGCCAACAAAACCCACCCTAACAGAAATCAAAGACAAAACTTAGAATGCAAACAACATAAAAATTAGCCTATTCCAGCCTTTGCTAAAGCATCAGCGTCCATATTAGCTGTCCTTGCAACCCAATTAATAAACCCCCCCCCCAAGATTCTAAGATTATCAACTATATTTCTAACAACAAAGGCATAAACAACTGGGCATGAGTCGACATTGTTGATCCAGTTTACTGCAACCCTGCTATCACTCTCAACAATCAGCCTATCTTTAACCCTCCCTTGAGCAGAAGCAAAGAAAGAAATACCCCTTTGGATAGCTTTAAGTTCCAGCAAAGTCGAAGGTCCCGAACCAACTGACTCCTGAAAAGAACCTAGGACTGTACCTGAATGATCCCTCCAAATACCTCCTATACCCGATTTCTTCCAATCATCCAAATATCTTCCAACTACATACAAGATTAGTTTGAACTTTATTTCTTCTCAAGCTACAAAAACAATTCATCCAACAATCAAGAAAAACCAATAAAGAAATGCTATCAACCACATAAAAGTTTCATTGTACAAAATAAAAAGATCCATTACTGTGCCCTAAATGCAAAACCTAAAATAGACCATCAACTCTCTTCAGTCACCATGTTGTCGTCTCACTCATTCAATAAACATGTAGAAATTGAATGTGCATTACTTACATTTCTTCTGTTCCAAAGAATTGGACAAAACACTTCTTAGGGTCGGGATCTCGCTCCCAATCTTCAGGCCTGCTAATCTGAAATTCATAACCCACAGAATCTTACCTCAATAACCAATGGCAAACCAATATAAAAAATTAACCAAGCCCTGAGTAACAGGATATAAAATGGAAATCCCTAAACAATTTTTTGATGCCATTGATAGGATCATTGATCTAGCATTCAAGAAAAAAAAAACAAATCTGTATTTAGACATATTTCCTTCAATGCCAAAACTAGCATTGTATAATTGCATTAAGTAACCATTTAAGGAACAGATCAAAGTATTAACTCTGAAATACTAAAAACACAATCAGCGAGCATAAGCACGGAGAACATTGAATCCAAAACTAGTACCCTCACAAAACAAATCAAAACTTACTAAAAAGGCAACAAATTGAATATAAAACCAGCAAATATAGTATAAAGTAAGACAATGTAAGCACAAAAGAAACGTAGCAACATCACAAAAAACTTTCTTAATCTACAATCACCAAACTCTTCACGGATTTATTCAAATTTCCATAAGTTCAGAAGAGCATATAACAAAATAAAGAATATAATCATTAAATTCTGAGAATTCAGGCTAAAACTAAAATTACTAAAAATTAAAGGAAACAGAAGAAAAGGGGGGAAGACGGACCTTCGCAGGCCAAGCAGGGAAACCCTTGACTTTGGCGAGAACGAGATCGCCCAAACTAAAATTCTTAACTTTTGCTTTGTTCCCTCCCTTTTTACGACTCCCAGCCATAAGATTAAAGCCCTAACAGATCCTTCGACGCCGTCGTCGCCGTCGTTATTCTTTTATTCCGCAATCCAAATCCCAAATAAACGATTCCGGATTCAAATCCAAAAACCCAACAAGGGAAAACAACAAACGAACCCTAGAGATAGCAAGAGAAGACAAGCTTTGGAAGTTTGGTGCCACGGATATCGGCGGCGGCGGCGACGCGCCCTGGGAAGTTCCGGCAAGGGCAAGTAATTAGGGCATCGAGAGGAGCAAAAACAGGAAGACGGTGGCAGTGGACGAAGAAGAGATTATTGGATTATTGAGTTGAAAAGGGATTTCCTTTCTCTTTTTTTCAGATTATTGTGGGGGAGCGTGAGTGAGGTTGAGGATGATGAGTCACCAAGGAGAGAAAATAAGGCCCAAGTTCTGGGGTCGTTCTGCGGTGCGGCGCCTAAAAAACGGTTAATATACGGCGTGACCGGTTAAACAAGTGACCGGTTAAAATTTAGACCGGTTATGTTATATTATTTAACCGGAAATATTATAAAGTACAATAACATACTAGGTAGCGCTTATATAATGTAATAGGTAGCGCTTATATTTACCTATTTTATAAGTAAACCAGTATATTTATACCGATAGCATTGCAAATTTACCTATTACATTATATTATATTGAAAGTGTCCATACTTTTTATAAAAAGGATCGATACTTTAACAGTGTTTCATGTTTTCCACCTACAATATTGATTTAATAATTTCATTTGCACAAAAAATTATTTGATTGTTTTGATATTTTATAAATATTATTTAGAATTTTTAATTTAATAATAAATATACCGTAACGTAAAAATAAATCATTAGACGCCTATAATTACTAAATTAATATCTTAAAACTCACTCAAAAGATAACCTTAAATTAATGTTTTCCACAGTGAAAAAGTATGGACACTTTTATAAAAAGGATAGACACTTTACAATATAACCATTACCTATTACATTATATAAACGATACCTATTACATTATATAAGGGCTACCTATTACATCATATGTTTACCTATTATATTGAAAGTGTCCATACTTTTTATAAAAAGGATCGATACTTTTTTTAAAACTTATGTAATTTATGTTTCAATTTTTTTAACAGTGTTTCATGTTTTCCACCTACAATATTGATTTAATAATTTCATTTGCACAAAAAATTATTTGATTGTTTTGATATTTTATAAAATATTATTTAGAATTTTTAATTTAATAATATATACCGTAACGTAAAAATAAATCATTAGACGCCTATAATTACTAAATTAATATCTTAAAACTCACTCAAAAGATAACCTTAAATTAATGTTTTCCACAGTGAAAAAAGTATGGACACTTTTATAAAAAGGATAGACACTTTACAATATAACCATTACCTATTACATTATATAAACGATACCTATTACATTATATAAGGGCTACCTATTACATCATATGTTTACCTATTATATTGAAAGTGTCCATACTTTTTATAAAAAGGATCGATACTTTTTTTAAAACTTATGTAATTTATGTTTCAATTTTTTTAACAGTGTACTGCGAATTTAAAATGATAATATACTTGTAGTTATTGTACATACCTAAATATGTACTGCGAATTTAATGTTGTACCCACCCTTTAACTACAGAAACATGTTCAAAATGAACCTTCGTTACATATCCATCAACTCCTGGAGCACTGAACTTGCACAACAAAATTTTTGCCATGGATAATACTGATGTAGACAATGTTAAGCCAACCGAGGAATGCCATGAAGTACATAATGTTGATGAATCTGACAGATTGGTTGGTCAGCTCTTCTGTTCACGTGATCAAGCTTGGCACTTTTACAAGGGATTCGCACGGGAACATGGGTTTAGTGCACGTAAGGGAACAACACGGCTTGACGTGGAAGGGAATGTGAAGACACAAGAATTTTGTTGTTCCAAAGAAGGGTTTCGAGTATCAAAAGTCAATACTGTTGATCGTCAACGTGCTCATACGCCAGTCACAAGAACAGGATGTAAGGCTAGAGTCGTAGTTACAGCAACAAATACAAACGATCAGTGGGTTATAAGTAAGTCTGATCAGAAACATAATCATGCATTGTGCACATCTGCTATGACACCATTTATGCGTTCTAATCGAGCTGTAAGTAAGGCTGATATCGATGAGGCAACAACATTGAAAGAGGTCGGTGTTGGCACGTCACAAGTAATGAACTATTTAACGCAGCAGGCAGGGGGCTATCATAATGTTGGATTTACACATAAAGACCTCTACAATGCACTTCAAAGAGGTAAAGCAAAGGAAATCGTCGATGGGGATGTGAATGCGCTTATTGCCTACTTTGATTATAAGAAACATGATGATCCCGGGTTTTTTATGACATACTCGGTAGACGAATCGGGGGCATTGTATAATCTTATTTGGTCGGATTCTACATCGAGATCGGATTACACATGCTTCGGTGATGTAATTGCGTTCGACACAACGTACAAAGATAATTTGTACCGGTTAGATTGAAAAATTACATATTACATTATACTTTTGGGTTCGATGATTTTGGGATCGACACTTTTTATATATGGATCGACACTTTATTGATTCACCTTGTAAAAATTCATTCTGGAAAAAAATATCGACACAAACTATATTAGTGTCGACACATTATTTAGACTTATTCTCTCATAAAACCGGTATAATTGTACCGGTTAGATTAAAAAATTACATATTACATTATACTTTTGGGTTCGATGATTTTGGGATCGACACTTTTTATATATGGATCGACACTTTATTGATTCACCTTGTAAAAATTCATTCTGGAAAAAAAATATCGACACAAACTATATTAGTGTCGACACATTATTTAGACTTATTCTCTCATAAAACCGGTATAATTGTACCGGTTAGATTAAAAAATTACATATTACATTATACTTTTGGGTTCGATGATTTTGGGATCGACACTTTTATATATGGATCGACACTTTATTGATTCACCTTGTAAAAATTCATTCTGGAAAAAAAATATCGACACAAACTATATTAGTGTCGACACATTATTTAGACTTATTCTCTCATAAAACCGTATAATTGTACCGGTTAGATTAAAAAATTACATATTACATTATACTTTTGGGTTCGATGATTTTGGGATCGACACTTTTTTATATATGGATCGACACTTTATTGATTCACCTTGTAAAAATTCATTCTGGAAAAAAAATATCGACACAAACTATATTAGTGTCGACACATTATTTAGACTTATTCTCTCATAAAACCGGTATAATTGTACCGGTTAGATTGAAAAATTACATATTACATTATACTTTTGGGTTCGATGATTTTGGGATCGACACTTTTTTATATATGGATCGACACTTTATGGGTGCACCTTGTTTTTAATTCATTCTGGGAAAAAAATATCGACACAAACTATATTAGTGTCGACACATTATTTAGACTTATTCTCTCATAAAACCGGTATAATTGTACCGGTTAGATTAAAAAATTACATATTACATTATACTTTTGGGTTCGATGATTTGGGATCGACACTTTTTTTATATGGATCGACACTTTATTGATGCACCTTGTAAAAATTCATTCTGGAAAAAAATATCGACACAAACTATATTAGTATCGACATGACCCTTAATGTGTATAAGAAACATGTACAACAACATACTGCTAACTTTTCTCATCTCATTCATAATTATATTCACATAAAAAAATATAAATCGTATACAAAATTATAAATCGTATACAAAATTATAAATCTTATACAAAATTAACTCGACATTTACATCATTGCATCCTTTTGTTATTCTTATGTAATATTGCGGCTTTTGTTATCTCCTGTCTTCGTTCATTTTGATTGTGGCTTACGAGATCATTTAATACTCGCGATCGATCCCAGTCTCCAACAACCTATATTCAAATTGTCAGAACGTTAAGTATTGTCAACTACAGCATTCAATCTACGACTTTTAACAATTTTACCACAAACAATTTTTCTATCCACTTACAAAATCACCAGTTGCCCCTGTAGAACCGATCGATTCCATCCACATCATCACATACATGCCGCAATCATATCTGTTACAAAATTTGAAAACCACACATGTCAATTATGATGAATACTGCATAAATTAAGCTTTCTATTTGTGATAACATCTCATACCCATTCATTGCTTATTCTTCTTATGCTCCACAAATTTGAAGTTTTTCAAGGGATACTTTCCTAGAGATCCACATGACTCAACCCAAATGCGTTTCTTATTATAAGAATCTAATATTTTAATCTGCATTAAAATAGAAGAAGTTATGCACCAAAAAAATTATGCATTATAATTTACATAATGTCCTTTCATACATACATACATACCAATCTCTTAGCATCCTTCACTCTCTTTTAGCTGCTTCAGTTGTAAACATACTATCATATATTGTTACAACATGATCTACCATATCCAACACCAACAGATACCAGTGTGAATTATGGTAGTTTATTGTGATCATTATCTGCAACAAATTTCACACCCAATTTGACAAAATTCAACATCTATATCCGAAAACATCATTTGCAATTGGTATGGTGTCTTACCTTCTCACAGTCCGTGAATTTCACATAGTTATCCAATATGACACCCCAGAAGGTAGAAATATTCTCAACACTTTCTTTATTGTTGGCTTCCAACGCCTGTTGCTGTAATTACGCAACAAACATTATTAATTTACCGTCTATACACTACTTTTCAATATTTATTAATTTAACTCACCACTAAGAGGTATGGAAGGTAGCCAATCCTCCGGTGTGACTTTGAGAATCGTAGCATATGGTCCAGGCGAGCAAATCGATAACCTAACAAAATTAATTACACAATCAGAACATATTCAATAAGTTTTATTTATTTTCTACTTTCTACTTACCACACCGCCAACCCATTCTGTAGGCTTCAACGTTGCAACGTCGTATACAGTAGCGAATTGATTTCCCATTGATATTACAGAATATCTGTATGAATCATTAGGATTAATATCTTGTCATGAAATATTTAAATATCACTCACAAAACATATATTTCACTTACCCCGATTCTAACTCGCTATTCCATAAATAATCACAAATTGCAGCTTCGATGTCATCAATTCCAGTTGGAATGTCCGCTTTTTCAACCTACAATTTTGCATACAAATTTTTGTCACAACAACATAATAAAATCAAATTAAGTATTCTTTTATTAAACTTACCTTCTGCTTCTTCTTCTGGGGTGCAGGACATTCCGAATCCAAAACTGCTGCTATGACACTCTCTGTATAAAGCACATTGGGCCTCTCCTTCCTCCTC